CAAGTTTTCTTTAATTTCAGATCACTATCAATGTATCAATGCTGTGCGCATTTGGAATCATCATTTTCTATTGCTTCTTCCTTTCTCCCGCCAAAAAATCTCTAAAAATCTTTTTTAATTTATCTGATTATCTATTTTGGACCCTTCTAATTACCCAATTAGTCATTATGATAATCAATTTGATTTATGGAATTTCACTCAAAGATTCGGAAAAAATGATAATGATTATGGTCTGTGAATTGGCATTTTCCCCAGTTTTTTGNTACAGTACTGGCCCGCTCGGCCCGCCTAGGACAACTTTCCGAAAATGTTACTTTTCAAATGTGCCAATATATTTTTAATAGCACAAATATTAATCAAAATGCATACAACCATCCGAAAAAGTCGATTTAATTGAATTTTTAGCAAAAAATAAAACTTCATTAAGCCAAGGATGAAATTTTTTTCTAAAAACGACCTCAATACAGTTTTTTTTTCGATAGAATCGTCCTCTAGTGTGGATTTTTATTTATTAAGCAGAAAAGCCATCTAGAAAAATGATGATTTGCTCTAAAATTTCGAAATTTTCAAAAAGCAGGCCGGCTCGCGGGCCGTCCATGTGTAATTTTTTTCCGGCCCGGCCCGGCCCGGTCCGGCCATCTTTTCCACAAGTATGATTTTGATGATGCTACAGAAGAATTTTCAAAGTTTTTTTGAAGTGAATATAAAGTTTTTCGTGGCGGTGTACAGTGTGGCTATCGTACCCCTTTCCTATAATTCATCGGTCGGCAGCCGACGCTTATGACCACGTAGTTCAGCCTGTAGCGGCAGGGAACCTGAAATATTTTGAGCTGATTTTGACAGTTGTATCTCCTATAAGCTTTTTTAACAGATGAAGCGAAGAAGTAAAAAAATCCGCATATAATGTTTTAGGAATGTTTTTTGGAAGTAACGATTGTTCAACAAGAAGAAACTTATTTTTTCTTAAATATCAAGCATGTGAAACAGTAACTACCGTTTCATCTGAATTACATTCGCTGACTAACCAACCAATTTCTAGTCCAATTGAACGTGATCGTGTTTATGGTTCAAAACGGTCAAATCACCACTCGAACCGGAAGAACCACTGGATACGGACCACCAGTTTTCGACAATCAAAACAACATCAACGTATCAATGGCAAATCACTCTGGCTCAACTTTGAATGCTCTCTTTTCTGTTCCATGGAATGTTCGGAATTGTCAAGCTATGAATGTAAGTTGTAGGATTTGTAACAACTAGCTTTGTACTTTGAAACCCATTTAAAAGACAGAAAACATTTAGATTCCAATTTTAAATTGAAGTGGGATTACAGACCAAATTAGCGATGTTCCTTTAAAATCTTAAACATTTTCAGTTCGTACAAAGCGGACCCATAAACAACGGACAAATGGGAGTACACACATCCAGACCGGATCAAGTCAACAATGTTTGCGCGTCACAGTGTAGATGGCATTATACTTGATTGGAAAACACTGTATTTGATTGGAATAAATAAAATATTTTCGGGCAATTACGTTTAATTGGAAACAGTACAAAAACTTGAATGAACAAAAATAATAAAAGAAAAATCTAGATTTCGAAGAAGCACTCTATAGAAAACTATCCTGAATTCTAATGTTTAACACCAGCTTGATTCTAAGAAAATGCTATATCTGAAGGTTGTGAAAAATAATAATTAAAAATTCTAGTTCAAAAATATTTGCCACAGTTAAACATATTTCCCTCCTGAATAGTCTCCGCTCTTTGTGATTTAGCGAGAAAAAAACATCGAAGCAATCGAAGTGAATAAAGTATTTTGGCAATTACTCTTACTATCTATTGGAAACAGTAGAAAAGATAAAGTGATCTCGATGAGAATCAAAGAAGGTTCTAGATTTTTGGAGAAGCTCTCTTTTTTTTAATTCGATCAAAACAGATGATTATCAGTTTGATTTTTGAAGATAACTATATCTCGAGGTTGAAAACTTAATTTTTTTAAAGGAAAATAGAAAAGCTCTTGAGGCACGAATTTTTTCTTGACGGTGTTTAGCGATCGGTGGTTAGAACATATTTTCTGGTGGATATTGTTCCCAATTAAAATTCCCTGCCGATGCTTTCAACCTCGTAGCTCAGTCGTTCGAATCCCGACGCATCCGATTGGCTACTAGTTCAACACCTCAAGAAGATTCATCTGAAGTTTGGTGAGCCTGAACTAGAGCATTTCTGTTTCGAAAAAATGGCATATTTGATAAAAACTTTATGTTTCTTTATGTTTTATGTTTTTATGTTTCAAACTTTATGTTTTTTATGTTAAAAGTTATTTGAACCAAAATATCAAAGGGTTCTCGAGAAAACCTTCTCATATCCCAATAATAAATGTTGAATTTACTACCTCCTCATTTTTTTTGACATCGTTCGATAAGATGACCATTGTTACCTCTAATCCCATCACTATCTCTTATGTGTATACCGCACTAGCACTCCTTCTAAAACCCTCTATCTACACAATATTGATTTATCATCCATAAAAAAGACAATGTGAAGAGAGGTCCCATCTGAATTCCCTGAAGAAACGAGTGGCGTTCCTAGATAGTCATAACAGAGTCCATTCCCTCAGTTGGTCAGTCATTCAACAGTTTGTGCCCCCAATCGTCTTCATTATGTCGTCCGTCGATTTTATGTTTCAGGAAACGTAAGTATTGATTTTTTTTTCTGTTTCAGAAGATTTAGATTATTGAGAACACTAGGTGGTTTCCAATCAGTTTTCAATCAACAATTTTGGTGTGTATATTCTCAATTTAAATGTTGTAAAAATTTTATCATCTATTGAAGGGAGTCCTTATATTGAAGGTGATGTTGAAAATATGATTTTTCAAAATATATACCGTATTTCCTCTAATTGAAGCCCATGGGCTTCTATTTTTCAACTTCCTTCTCAGGAAACTTCCAAAAACTGAAATCACCAGAATATTTTTTCAAAAGTAAGACGATGTCTACAATAACCGAATAGATGAACTGCACTGAACTGAACTGCACGAATTTCTGTTAGAGGTTCCGCTTTTATGATTGCGAGCACGTCGGAGGGTGGGCTTCTATTAGAGAAAATACGGTAAGCACGAAAAAATTCCAAAAATCATACAGACTAATTTTAGTTTTAAAAACATTTTACAATCGCAAGTAAGTTGAAAAAAAAACAAGTAAGAAAACTACTGAACACCGAAAAAAATCCGAAAAATCGTCGTTCAACGGACTATAAAAACCGCTTCTACATTATTCCAATATTGAAACATCTCGTTTTCTGGTTCTGTTTTCTAGCTCAGAAATTTTCGTGCATGTTTTTGTGATGATATTATGAAATTCCAAATAATTTGAAAGGTGGCTATGTTGAAAAGGTGAGGGACGAGAATCTTAGGTCCCTCGCAAAGTGAAACCTAGTCCACTACCATAAGACATTTTTTTTCAAAAAAAAATTCCGGGTGTTTTTAAATGTCCTCTATGTCAAAAAAGCCACTTGCGGCCGTGGCTAAATTTCTTATTGCGCGGGGACTGAAATCCTTGCATCTGAAAAAAAATCCTAACCATTAGCCAATCGTTAATTATCACCCAACTAAATGAACGAAAAAAGGAATAATTTATCTTAAACCTGAAACATGCATTTTGTTTGATCACATCTCAAAAACCTTTTTCCTTTCAGACGTGCCATGCTCGAAGTCACCGAGCAACACCTTCACCATGCTGACTTCCGTATCGATTGTCTTCGCTCTGAAAACCACCATCTCACACTTATCAATGAGCACCTAGAGAACAAGTTTGCGCAGCTCCAAGGTCAATTCAATATAGAATCATACCGTCGAGTCATGGCGGAGCATTCTCTCTACCATATGTCTCATGAGTCTCAAAGCTACAAAACTCAACTGGAGAAATCTAATCTCTTAGAGAATGTCATTGAACAGCTCAAGGCTGTCAATTCGGCACTAGCGGAATCTCAGGAGGAGCAACAGAAAGCGATAGAAAAGGAGAAACTTGCTCGCCAGGAGGAAATCGATCGATTGAAAGTTGAGAATTTCAATCTCAAAGAAAAGGTATCGGATCTCAAGGCTTCTTTGGAAATCTGTCATCAGGAAATGGAAGAATTTTCGGCAATTGATAACGCTAGATCCATGTGCAATGTCACCAATGACAAGGGCTTTATGGCGTTGAGAAGATTCGGAGATACTGTAGCGATCCGAAGACTTTCAGGGAATGTGAATGTTTTGGAGCCGATTTCGGAAGAGTTTGGAGAGGAGGGATCTGAGGATTCCGAGAAGAATTGTGATTAGCGGATTCAATTCTGATGTAAATATTCGTCTATGAAATGTGCGCACATTGTTCCGTTTTTATTGTAATGAATTATCAAAAATTGATAGAATATATTGATTCTAATCGTCCGTTCTTTTTTGTCACCAGGAACACACCTAATTATGGTTTTTTTCCAAAAAAAAGTTTTTTTCCTAAAAATCGAAGCTGGCGCCAACTGTCCGGGCCTTCCGGGCCGGCGTATGCTAGTCAGCGTAACTTACCGTAAAACCTGTATTAGAATGACCGATTTGATAGAATAGTAACCGTCAAGTGTTTTGTTTCAAATTTAAATCTTCCGTAAGTTTTCAGTAAAAAAAGTTCCAGAAATTCCACCATTTCACAGAAGTTCGTTGAAAGACAATTTTTTGCTGAAAAACTTGAGAATTCACAGAATTTTTAACTAAAACTTTTAGGAAGAAATGGTCAGAAAGATAGAAAAGATCCTGCTCTTTCCGGGAAGAACGGTCCCATTGTTCCGATAACGGTCCCAATTTCTCGTGAACGGTCCCAACGTTCCGACAACGGTCCGAAGGGCATGACAACGGTCCCAACCAGGCTTAATCTGGAAATCCTATTTAAACAACGGAAGTTGTAATTTTTGTTTCAACTAAGAAACACATTTCAGCAACAAAAACGAACAGTTTGTTGATGATTGAGAGTACCAGTACTTTTTTACTGGATTTTTTCAGAGTATATTTGGTTTATTATTATAGGCTTAAGCTGAAACGCCTTGTTCACAACAGTGCCGGAAAAGTCGTTTTGGCCTAAGCCTACAATACAAGAAAACGTGATACTTTGTGAAAAATTCCTGTCAAAAAGTACTGAAATTTCTAAGTATAATTCCCAAGTATAAATTCCCAAGTATAATTCCCAAGTATAAGTGAAATATTAAATTTTCCATTGGATTTTCAAAGATCATTCCGTTTTTTCTGTACTCCGAAAATAGGGTTTCCAAATTAAGTCTGGTTGGGACCGTTGTCATACCCTTGGGACCATTCTCGGAACAATGGGACCGTTGTCGCAATTCTTGGGACCGGTGGTCCGATGATGGGACCGTTCTTCCCGGAAAGAGCCAAAGGTCCTTCTAGTACAGGTCTTACGGTATGTATGCGTCATAGATTAAAACCGAAAATTCCCGTTTCAAATGTCCCATTTTTTCAAGAATGTCATTCTAAATTCACTGGGTTTCTGTATCAGAATTCCTATTTCTTGGTAACTCATCGCTTGAAGCTTTGAAAGACCCACAAATGGAGCCAATTATCAAAGAAGTATTGAAGTTTTCATTTGATGTCAATTTCAGTAAATTAGCATTGTTGGTTTTTCTTCTTTTGAGAAAGGCATTTTCTTAATAGACGTTTTTGTATAAAGCGACAATTGCCAGAAAACCTCCAAAAACAGAGATGAATCGAGTAGAAATATAACTACCCAAAAAGTATCAATTCCCCTTATTTTCAATTGAAAAAGCTACCAACTTTGGATGCCTCCAGAACATTGTAGATTTAGTTAGACGAGTCTGAAAATTTCAGAGTTTACTGAACAAAAATCGAGGTTAAGATTAGTAGTTGACAAATTTTTTATACGGTTTTATCCGCAGCGCTTGAAAGCTTCACGACAATTAACTCGAAGTCATTTCTTAAAGATTTGGCACTTGATTATTTTCAAAAATTATACAAAAAAATTGTCAACTACAAAATTAAAGTTATATTTTTGTTCAGTTTAATCTGAAATGTTCAGACAAATCTAACAATTCTGGACCACTTCTCAGGGCTCTAAATTTGACCGCTTCTCAACTAAAAATAGGTAATACTAGTAACCTTTTGGCAGGTACAGAAAGTCTACATGACAATAGTGAATTTTTTTTAAATACACTTTCATACTTTTGAAGTTTTGGAACAAATTTCTATTAGGGATCATTTTCAAATGAGACCAGGCAAAATTAATAAACTTAAAGTCCCTAATAATTGTGTCCATTTATCTTTTTTTTTAAATTTATTTAAAGAACCTCTTCTCTTGTCGTACATAATACCTGTAACAGTGTCACCGACAATTAGAACCAAAAAAAACGACTGTAAAACGAATCGGTCAACTGACCCAAGAAACAAAGAGAACTTGTGTCCGTTTGGAATGTGTTATTGTGTAATTTTTTTTTCTCCTCCAACCCCCAAAAAATGATGATCACTTTTTTCAACGTCTTCTTCAAAATTTTGTTGTTTCTCTCGAGACCTATCTCTTCTTCTACCAAATTAGTTCATTCTTTTTTTTCCTTCTACAATCACACTAACAAACAAAAAATTCCTTCTTTTTCTCTATCAATTTGTCTTCTTCTTCCTTTTTATATATTGCCTTCTCTTGTTTTTCACTGATTTTTGATTCTTGTTGTATTCCTTTCCCCGAACTACTTCTGATATCGATATCGAATTTCTTCTTTTTCTGAAGGTTCTCACGCCAGTTCTTCAGATCTTGTCACACTTTTTGGTTTCGTTTTTTCCCCTCTTCTGAGTTCGTCTCATTATTTTTATTTCTGGATTCCTAGAGCTTCCCTTCTCACTTTTCTGTGAATCACAAAAGAAATACTAATTGTCACAAACATCCGCTCAATGAGAACTTTAGAATTTGAATAGGGATTTTTGAACCTTGAAATGTTATTTCCAGTACAAAGTTGTTTTTCTTCAGATAGTTTTGAAAATTTGGAAATTTTACATGTTTCAGAAATTTTACATGACAGATAAGTCATATCTCACATATTCAAACTGTTTCTTCTACAATGGTTTACCCATAATTGTAAAACATTTGAAATTCGTGGTTTGGTTTTTTCCAAAAATAAGCTCCTCCCATTTTGGAACCGTTAATAGAAGGTCCCTCACTTTGAACTTTGAACTACTTTTTCTCGATTCCTGTCAAAGATATCGAAAAGTTGTCAACTGATGAATTGTTTATCATAATATCAGCCTGTTTTTATTAGTAGACATATTGTATATCTTGCATAGGAATCGAGATAATTGAGCTCAAACTTGACATTGTGGGGCTCTTCTAATACAAGCTTTACGGTTAATACGAAGTAATGAAGTCTAAAGACAAAGTACGACAAATTACTAATTTGCCACAAGTATTATGAAATTTTAATATGACAGAAATTCAGAAAAAGGTTTCGTATTAGTCGGGAACTCTTAGAAATGATTATTACCAGTCGAGTTTAAATTACTTAAGCCGTAAATGGAACATATTAGGAGTTTTACCATCCCTCAAACCATCCATATGAAACTGAAAGAATTTCATGCATTTTGAAAACAATCTATCCCTGAAATGTTTCCCTGTTCCAAGTTACCCACAAATATTATCAAACTTGAAACAAATTTACTGAAAAACGCGCGAGAACTCTCTAAACCGCTTCATTTGAGAAAGCTTTTAGATTTTCGTTTAATTAAAAAAAATTTTCGGCCAAAACTTACTTTGGATTTGATAAGTGTCAAGAACAGAAACATAGAAAATAAACATACCTGTAATAGAAGGGCTCTTTGACAGGTGACCATAGAATGTCCCTCAAATCTTCAACTTTTAGCCCATATATCTCATTTCCGGTAGGAGATACCTAGAAGGTGTCAACTTACAAAATTTTTATCGTAATATCAAAAATATTTTGGCAGTTAACCACTTTTTGATATCTCTTACAGGAACGATGATACATTAGCTCAAAGCTGGAAGTTAGAGGGCTACGGCTTCTCACAGGAAACAAGAAAAAATGGTTGAAAACTGAGGGCCCTTCTATTACAGGTTCCACAGTATGAGAGAAATCTGAAAACTGGTTTCATTGAAATACTAGAAATGAACAACTTTAAATTTCTAATCGGTTTACCGTAAAAACTTAAATATAGCGCCACCTGTAATAGAAGACCCCCTCTAATATAACGCCACCCTAATAAGGTGATTGGAGGTAGAAGAACATAGTTTTTATGCTAGATTAACATAATAGCAATAGAATCTAGAAATTTCGCATAATTTTTTTCATTTTGGTACTATTAATCAAGCAAAACATCAATTTCGGTTACATCGCATCATCCCAAAACAACTCCTTTGAAAAATAGAACGCCATGGCGCTATATTACAGTTTTTAATTTTGTATAACCAATTCAACAATTTGGTGTTTCACCAAGCCTCAAACCATTCATCTGAAACTGAAAATTTTTCTTAAACTTATAAAAAAATGTCCTCCCTGAAATATTTAATCGTTTCGACTTTTTAATTTGTTCCCACCTATTCATTCTATTATCAATCTCCTTTTTCAGAATGGCCTCAATTTTCCGACGTCTTCTAAGTATCCGAAAACCAAAGAAAGTGTTGACTCGAAAGGATTCCATCACCGGCCGAAACCACACATTTGTCAGTTTTCTCTTCCTTTTGCCAACCAATTTTCACTAATTTGATACCACGAAAAACCGTTTCTTAACATTCTTCGGGTGGTCTGATTTTACCAAATTAATCAAGTGTAAAAACTGAAATATGGGGTTTCTTAGAAAGTACCGTACAGTGCGCTTATAGCAATATGCAAATCTCTTGAACTTTCTGATGAGCAATATGAAACAGTAGTTCAATTTTTTTTCTTTCGAAATCATACAGTAAATTTTAGGAGGTGCCATATCTATCTCGTCTTGACGGAAACCAATTACAACCGGGCCAATCTCTTATTGCCAGAGGATACATTACAGGTAATTTGATAAGAAAAAGGGACAACGGGGCAAATTTAAGAGAGAAAGAAAACGGAAATACCAAAGGAAATTGAATTATGTTGGAATGTGTGCGGAAAGGAAAGAGGGAAAGAACAAAAATATGATCTTGAAAAAGACAGTTTTTGGTGGCCGCGGGACCTTCGGCCACGGTCACCGTTTTTTTTTCTTTTTTTCAGCACCGATTTTTTAAGAAAATAATCTGGGAACGTGATATTTCTGAGATGTTCTACCAAACATGAAATGTTTTTGAAACAGGGTGATTTTGAACAATACCATAAAATTAAGGACCATTCATAGCGTCTCCGTTGACCCAATTTATCGCGGTTCCTATAGGCCAACAAATTTAAAAGATAACATGAGATTTTCCAGATGTTTATAGAGTTGCGTGCATGCATTTTCGTGTACAAGAATTTTGGAAAATACTGTATGAAACAGTTAGCATTACCAGGCTGTTCCAGCAGAAACAAAATGTTCTTGAAACTGGGTAATTTTGAAAAATACCGTAAAGTCAAGGGCTTTTCATAGCGTCTCGATTGACCAAATTCATCTCGGCTCCTGAAAAAGAAACCAAAAATTGATAAACTAACAAAATAGTTCTGATAAAATGAGAAGCTTTTTGTCGATGGAACACTGTTTGATATTTTTCACAGAAACCGAAACAAATTAAGTCAAAGTAGAGAGTGTAAAGATCCTACCAATGGAAATAGTAGCAGGTTTTTACCTTTTTTTTGTAAAATCTAGGTCATAGTATTAGCACTAATTTGAAATTTAGTTAATTTTTTTGAAAATTGATAGATGATTTCGTCCATGTAAGCATAGAACGGCTATCTTGATCCCTATCAAGGAAGTTACAGTAAGTTATAGTATACTAGACGCTATAGTTTGTTCCTACTTTCAGTTTTTTTTTGTTTAAAGGGGGACTCCGGTCAAACTTTTTATTGCATCGAAATGTGTTAAAAGTTATCTATTTTCCTAATATTATTGCGATTTTTTTTTTCAAAAATCCGAAATCCCCGAAAAACGCCGTTGAAAAGGAAA